CAACCCCAGACAGGGCTGAGATGAAGAGATGCCTGAAGCTGGCAGAGGTCAGTGTCCCAGCCTCAGGATTTGGACCTTCCGAGCTGTAGGGAGCTCCCTGCTAATTAACTCTGGGGACTACATTTAGGGAAAGTTTTGGGAGCAGACAGAAAAACGCCACCCCTCCCTCGCAGAAATGCATTCTGAGAGCTATTCTCTTGCAAACAGAATCAAACACTAGGCCAGCAGTGTGAGCTGTCAGGACACTCAGAACAGGCCCAGAAAAATAGACGCTGAGGAAGAGCTTAGGGCAGGCTTCCAGCACCTCCTCCCCAAATCGCTCTCCACCTTCTCTGCATCTTTCCGCCAGCCCCCCTAAACAAAGCACGTCCCAGGGCCTGTGGCCTGGGGGTGGGGTGGATGTGAGGCTGGACGCCTGAGTCCTCCAGAGGAAGGCAGGATACCTAGGTCCCAGCAGGGGGCCCTGTCTGAGGCTCAGTCTTTGAGGGGATTTGGGGTGGGTTCCTGGAGGGAGCTCTTTTAGCCACTCTGAGGGGGATTCTGTGTGACGGGATTGGGGCTGGGGGTCAGGAAGCTGTCCCCAGGGGAGCCATCGAGGCCCATTCAAGGGTTGAGCACTTGTTTAGGGTTAGAGCTGCCCCCTCTGGAGACCTGGAGAGTCAGCCAAGGCCATTGTCCGGTCCCCTTCCCCCAGTCCCTCCCAAGCCTCTTTGAACCTGAAGTCAGAGATTTTTCCTCCCCCCTCCCTCCTTGGCTTTCTCCACCCAGGGCCAAGGGCTGAAGCTTGAGAAGAGGCGGTGGGGGAGGGAGAACAGCCAACTAGGTACTAGATATTCGGGTCCCTGAAGGGTGGGGGGAAGGAACCCAACAGGTGGGTTCCACAGTGGGGGCCCCGTAAGTCAAAAGTTTGGGAACTCGGGCACAGACAGTCCAGAGCCTGGCCCCTAGAAGGGGAAGTGGGGGTCAGCCCCCGAGTCCGGTGTGTGAGGCAGCTCTGGAGCAGAAGTCTTGGGATTTGAAGGGGGGCCTTGTCTGGCAGTCCACTCTGAGACGGGATAGAATTTATCAGGTTGGGCAGGCGGGCACCAGGCATTAAGGCGCTTTGGGGTAACGGAATCTGGCCAGTAATCTGGATGAGTGCCTGAGTTCCTGGATTGGGGGTGGGGAGGACTGCAGAGGTGGCTGATGAGGAATTGAGGGTATGGCACACTCACAGTATCTGAGGAGCTGAGAGGCTGGATGGGCCCCAGGGAGATGGGGCTAGGGTCTTTGGAGAGGGGTCAAGCACCTGGACTCCTGAAGAACCTGGAGGAGGTGTGGAGGGGTCCCAGACAGCCCTGAGGTGTGCAGAGCCCGAGGGAGGGCGGGGCAGCCGGGCCGGGAGTTGGAAGAGGTCTCATGGGGTCCCGCACTATGGGCCTTGGGGGCTAGGGCCTGAAGAGGCACCTAGTTGGGGCTCCCTGGCACCCACCTACCACAGGCACCACCGACACCAGCAGGCAAACACCCTTCGCCTCAGTTTCTCCCACCCCCACCTCCCTCTCCTCCCCCCCCATCCAGGGGGCGGGGCCAGAGGTCAAGGCTAGTGGGTGGGATTGGGGAGGGAGAGAGGTGTTGAGCAGTGCCTCGGAGAGCCTCCTTTTACCGGGCCCCCGGCTTGGGGCGCCGTCCTTCCCCATGGCGGGACACCTGGCTTCCGACTTTGCCTTCTCGCCGCCACCGGGTGGTGGAGGCGATGGGCCAGGAGGGCCGGAGCCGGGCTGGGTTGACCCTCGAACCTGGTTGAGCTTCCAGGGCCCTCCCGGCGGCCCAGGAATTGGGCCGGGCTTAGGCCCCGGAGCCGAGGTGTGGGGGATTCCCTCATGCCCTCCGCCGTATGAGTTCTGCGCGGGAATGGCCTACTGTGGAACTCAGGTTGGAGTGGGGCTGGTGCCCCATGGCGGCCTGGAGACCCCTCAGCCCGAGGGCGAGGCGGGAGCCGGAGTGGAGAGCAGCTCCGAAGGGGCCTCCCCTGAGCCCTGCTCTGCCCCGCCTGGGGCGGTGAAGCTGGACAAGGAGAAGCCGGAGCAAAACCCCGAGGAGGAGGCGAGTGAGGTGCAGTGCGGCCAGGGAGGGGGAAGTGGGGGCCTGCAGCTGCCCAGGCCTGGAACCCCAGAGCGGAGTGGGCATGGGCAGCGCTCCACGCACCAAGCTATGTGTGGCCACCGGAACCGTCCTGAGAGCAAGGGCGAGGTGGGAACTGGAGGCCAGCATTCCGGGAGTACCGCAAGGGAGGGCAGGGCTGGCCTCGGGGGGTCGGAAGGTCCAGGCTGGCCTTGCTTCCTGCCCCGGCCCGCCCTTGGCCAGTACTCTTCCACCTCCTAGGCCTGACCATGGCCCCGTCACTCAATTTATTACCAGTCCAGCACCAGACCCAGCTTGCGGTTTGAGCCCCTTCTCCCACCCTGAATCGTTCTTGATGATTTGGCCCTTATCAGACTCAAGATCTTGGCTTTAAGTGTGGCCTGAGGGTAAAAACAGTGCTTATCCTGGGGTTATTGTTCCTGAAATTCGAGGGTGTGACTAGTTTCTGATAGAAGCTCCTGTCTGGGCTGTGTGGATGTGTGGAGTGGGTTTGCCTGCCGTCAAGTTTAGGGCTTGACTTCCCTTGACCCCTGCCTGGGCCAGTGAGTCACCATTAGGCAGAGTGCACTCCCTGGCACCCTCTTGTAGAGAGTTGGAAGTACCGAGTTCAGCCCTTATTCCGTAAATTGTGAACATGGTGGAAAAAGTGGAAGAATTCTTCTCCAAGCCATTCCCCAAATGTAGGGTTTGCTTGAGGGATTGAAGACTTCCGTGTCCAGCCCTGCTGGGGACTATTAAGGATGTATCTTCCAGGCTGCTGAAGAGACAAGCGTAAGCAATTAGACATCAAGTACTAAGCCTTTAGGCCTCACTGAAGGAGGTGTGAGTGGTTTCAGCCTACCGAGTAGCCCCAGACTCTGCAGGAGGCAGCTGCTGAGCCTTGAATAATAATAATGGGTGCCAGTTGTGGTCCATTTCCTAAGTGCCTGGCTGTGTGCTTGGTTCCTCCATCATTATCTCATTAACCGTCACCAAATCTAAGGAGGTATTATTAGCTTATTTCACGGGTCTTAACTTCTAAGTGATAAAGCTAGGCTTTGAACTGGGGCTTACTTTATTTCAAATCCCCAAAATAGGATTTAGAAAAGCTGTGATGGGGACAGCTGAGGACGTTTATAGGTTTGAAACATTGGCTGAACAAAAGTTGGGAATGGAAGTTGGCCTTTTTGAGTTTGATGTGATTGAGCACCCTTGAAATACTTCCCTCAAGGCTTCCAGGACCACACAAAGGCCTAGCTACTCTTTGGTCCCCTTGGTCACTGGCCTTCACTGGAGTGCTCCAGGGCTCTGTTCCTCAACCTCTGCTCTATCTACCTTTCCTTCTGCTCATCCACCTTCAAAGCTCAAGCACCTTGTAGACTTGAGAGCCGCCTTTTCTATCTCCTGCTGGGATGGCTCCCTGAGCGGCTCCCCCCTCATCCCCCCATCACCCAGCTAAACAGGCATCTGCATTCCTTGCTTATCCTACATCCACTCCTTTGGACACCCCTCCATCTTTACCTTCGTAATACAACCTCAGTCAGTACTTAACTGCCACCCTGGTCTGGGTCACCACCATCTATGCCTGGATAACTGCAATTGCCTCCCTAGTTATACCCTCACTTTCTCTATTGTCACCATGTCAACTGGTATGCACATTTTGAAATGTGTGAGTCTGATCATGTCACTGCAGCACCTGTAGGGCCTGCCCTGCTCGCTCCTCGGATGTCACAGCCCCTCCCCCTTCCTTGCCTCTGCCCACTCACCCAGCCCTGCTGCTGCCAGGGCTGCCCACCTCAGGGCCTTTCACTTGGCTCTTTCCCTTTGCTCAAACGTCACCTTCTCCGTCTTATTTAAAATTGTCACCTTCCCCATAATGTCCTACCCTGCTGTACTCTAATCCTCTACCCTGTTTTACCTTTCCCACGGTGCTTCTTACATACTCACATACTGGATAATAATTATTTGTCTCTCCACATTAGAATGGAAGCTCCATGAGGCTAGGGCTTTTTGTCTACTTTGTGTAGCTGCTGGCTTATAGAAGGTGTACAATAAATCTGTTGAATTAATCGAGGCTGCTTCTATATTGCTAAGAAAAGATATGGTAAAAAATAAGGGATAGGGGCGGCTGGTTAGCTCGGCTGGTTAGAGCACAGTGCTCATAACACCAAGGCTGCCAGTTTGATCCCCACATGGGCCACTGAGATGCGCCCTCCACAACTAGATTGAAACAATTACTTGACTTGGAGCTGATGGGTCCTGGAAAAACACACTGTTCCCCCATTAAAAGAAAAAAAAAGGGGGGCGATCATCAGAATTTTTAAAAACCTGAGCACCAACTAAATACAAAGAACTGTACTCATACCTCTTATGACACCTGTAACTTTTAGTAGTGATTTCTCTTATATGCATGCTGTGTCTTAGTCTATGGGACGCTGGAAGAAAGCTGGGAGAGTATATTGAAATGAGAAGCAGGGAGGGGTTAATACTCCACTCAGAAAGCTTTGGTGTTAAATGAGCTAATAGGCAGGAGCTCCCTTCATAACCCGACAGGTGTTCTCATCGAGGCCAGGGCCTGTCTTTCCATCACACATGGTGCTCTGCAGCTAGTGGGGTGAGTGACGTTTGTAGATAGGTTGTTTCTAGACGTTAGGTGGGCAGGTTGGATGCAGACACTCCTGCAGACCGCTCCTTGGGCCCAGGTGGGGAAGGGGTCGACAGTTGTTGTGTTTGTCTTATGTGTCCTCTGCCTTTTAAATGCCGTCCCAGGACATGAAAGCTCTGCAGAAAGACCTCGAGCAGTTTGCCAAGCTCCTGAAGCAGAAGAGGATCACCCTGGGGTACACCCAGGCTGACGTGGGGCTCACCCTGGGGGTTCTCTTTGGTGGGTCCCCCGCAGCATGCTCTGACCCACAGAACACAAGCACCATGTCTCCCCTTGGGAGGAACATTCCTGAACTAGGCCTTTCCTCCCTACCAAAGGCCTTAGGTGAGGGGAGGGTGTTCCCCAGGCAGGCTGTGCCCTTATCCATGAAGAGGGTAGAGAGGAAAGGACAAAGATACTTGGGCCTTGAGTTCCCTCTGGGAAGAAGTGGGATCCTGGGTGGGACCTTGTGAGGGCAGGAAGGGGTGGTGAATCCTGGGTCTTGGGGTCCCCAGAGCCCTGCCTGCTGCCTCATGTTGCCTCTCTTTCAACCCGCCTCCCCAGGGAAGGTGTTCAGCCAAACGACCATCTGCCGCTTTGAGGCTCTGCAGCTCAGCTTGAAGAACATGTGTAAGCTGCGGCCCCTGCTGCAGAAGTGGGTGGAGGAAGCTGATAACAACGAGAATCTGCAGGAGGTGAGGGCGGGCAGGCACAGAGGGACCCGCGGCGGCTCAGACTGCCGTCGGCGCTCCCATCCCTGGCTGGCAGCTCTCCTTGGGGGCAGTAGTCCTCCGTGGATGGAGGATAGATAATTCCTCAGTGCTGCTGGGACAAGGTCCAGAGCCACTGGTCTAAACCCACCCTTGCAGGATCCTTCTTTTCAAACTATCTGGCTCTGGTGACATCCAGTCAATGCACCTTAGCAATTTGCTCGAGTCCCCGACCTCATGGTGCTGTTGCTTGCTTCCCGTCTCCTCCCCTGTCCCTCCCCACCTGCCCAGATATGCAAAGCAGAGACCCTGGTGCAGGCCCGAAAGAGAAAGCGGACGAGCATCGAGAACCGAGTGAGGGGCAACCTGGAGAGCATGTTCCTGCAGTGTCCGAAGCCCACCCTGCAGCAGATCAGCCACATCGCCCAGCAGCTGGGGCTTGAGAAGGACGTGAGTGCCCTCCGAGAGCTCCGTGTCCTCCTCCCCAGGCCCCCGCCCCCTGCCCTATCCCTGGCTCTCACCCTCCAACCAGTCTGGATCTGTTGGTTTGGGGCCAAATGACCTCATAAAACCAGACACACCTGGAGCTTCTGAGCGAGTGTCATTCTCCCTTGTGTCCCCCACTCCTAGGTGGTCCGAGTGTGGTTCTGCAACCGTCGCCAGAAGGGCAAAAGATCAAGCAGTGACTATTCTCAACGAGAGGATTTTGAGGCTTCTGGGCCTCATTTCTCAGGGGGACCAGTATCCTTCCCTCTGGCAGCAGGGCCCCATTTTGGTACCCCAGGCTATGTGGGCCCTCACTTCACTACGCTGTACTCCTCGGTCCCTTTCCCTGAGGGTGATGCCTTTCCTTCTGTGTCTGTCGCCACTCTGGGTTCTCCCATGCATTCAAACTGAGGTGCCTGCCCTTTGCTGGAAAGGGGAGAGCCAGGGAGAGTGCCCTAAGGATTGTACCAGGGCTTTGGGGTTAAGTTCTTCGTTCACTAAGGGATTGGGAACACAAAGGGTGTGTGTGTGTGGAGGTGGGGGGGCAGGGAGTTTAGGGTAACTGGTTGGAGGGAAGTTCAATGATGCTCTTGATTTTAATCCCCACATCACTCATCACTTTGATCTTAAATAAAGAAGCCTGGGACACAGTAGGTGGATACTTTTGTCTTTGTCTTACTGAAGAAGGGCATGGGGATACCCAGTAGTAGATATTAACAGCTCTCAGACCCAAATGACCCTAAAGCCAAAGTGCCAAACCTGCACAGTCACAGTATCAGTGACAACTGGGACTGGAACATATTTATTTGTGAGGCCCTTATTCCTAAGTGCTAGAACTAATGAGCTAGTTCTTAGGAGCTCATAACATGGGGTCTCGGGGAATTTGAACCCTTATTTCTGCCCACAGATGTTAGTATGTAGCCATTCCCTACTGGGAGGTGGCTCTTTGCTTTCCCCACTGTACAATGAAAGTCCTTGGGGTTGGTTGTCATGCTAAGAAATCGAGTCTAGATCCTTATTTCTTCTGCATGCCCAATCACCCCAGCCAGAAACGCCACCTTGTGCTGTCTTGACACCAGGGCTCATTTGGTTTCCCTTTAAGGTTTCTGCCTACCCTGACCATGAATGACTCGGCTTTAGTCCCGGCTCTGGAGCTGTTTCCTCGATGTGGAAACACTTGGGTTGGTAAGTCCAAGCAGGAGTAGAGAGGGTGAACATGCAGGTTGCAATAGACTACTGAGATAAGGCCTTTTCTAATAAGTATAGAAACACTACTTTGATGGTATCTTGGCTTCGTGTACCGGTCACAGAAGGAAACAAGTATACCGTACATGGGTTAGGTCAATGCACACTGGACCAGACCAGCATCTGCTGTAGCTGGATTACCAGCTTTTCTCTTTTCCCTGGCAGTACTGGCACACCTTGTTTTGTTGTGCTTCACAGGTGTTGCATTTTCTACAAATCAAAGGCAAGGCCCTCCACCAGTAAAGATTATGGCTTACTTTATTGCGATGGTCTCAACATGCAATATCTCTGAGGTACGTCTACCAGTGAAGCTTGTAAAAGTTCTGCCATCTACATGAAACTGACCAAACCCCAACTACCTTATTTTAATGGCATTGGATCTGTTTTCCTTTGAGAAAACTTAATACCTGGATTCCTTTTTTCCCATCTCCCACCTCCAGCTCATCCCCTATATGTGCGCCTTTTCAGTGAACAGGTTTGTATTTCTCTGTCTTTTCTGCTCCTCTCTCAGTCCCCTAAGAATTCATGTTCTCCAACCCTTCCCAAGGCCATTCTCCCAAGAATTGGAAAGCATGAGTATCAGATCCACAAAAAGAATGTTATTTATTTGGAAATGAAAGCAAACCTCTGGAAAGCCAGGCTACAAACAGGATCAGCAATAGGACTCCCCACAATGTAAGGAAGTTTGGGGACGGTGCTCTAGGTTTCCCCCAGAATGCCTCAGGTGATTCCATCCAAGAATGTTGAGAACTCACTTGTTAGGGTCTGGAGCTTACATCTTCCCAGGCATGGTCTCTGCAATTGACGAGTGCTCTGATCACAGACATTCTAGTGTCCATGGCAGCAAGGACCTATGACTTGTAACTGGGAATTTCCAGCTCACTGGCAACTTCCTGTAGGCAGTATTATCTTTGGCAGGAAACCATCTCTTCTCTCACTTTGGCCATGAGGGCCTGTTCTAGACCTTGAATCCATAGCAATGGACCCCAGCCCTGTGGTCATTCCCTCTTGGGCAGGCAAGAGAAGGGGCAGTTCTTAGAACTCACTGGTATTCCTTTGTGTCTACCCATGGCCTGGAGGTGCTAGCTCTCTGGCTCCTTGGTGGTGGGCCTTAGGTCTGGATGGTCACATGACACCCTGGGCACCGGAAGTCAGCTTCCCTAGCAGCCTGGATACTGCAGCCAACACAGGCCACATGGAACCAGCCGTCACAACCATCACACTGAACCCAAGCCACTGTCTCTTCTTGGGGCAGGAAGCAACAAGGGGCTGCACAGGGCTCCCCGCCCCCAATGGCAGGGGGAGTCATGGTGCTCACTGGGTGCTTCAGAGGACGCCCACGAGGATTTCTGAAGAAAGTGACAGAAAAACCAGGGTCACTGCAAACCTGTAGAAGTCTAGTACTTTCCCCTGGATTATACCTGAACTTAGATAGACTCACTAGGCTAATGGTGAACCTGGTTAGGAGCTAACCCAGGTTTTGCCATTCCAACATCTGTTCACTGTCCACCTCCTACCCCCAACTCAAGCAGAGGGCCACCTCTAAAAAGGAATCAAAAGGCAGCGAAACATTGAGACAAGGATCTCTCCACTTACCCACTAGGTGTCAGTGGGGTTTTCTCTACTCGGAGTTTTTTCCTGGGCTCTCCAAAGACTGGTTGGGGGCTCTCAGGAGCCTCTCTCTCATCATCCAATTCTGCCAATACTCGGTGAGCCGATTTCCTCCGATTTCTTGGGGGTGGAGCAGAAGGGGTGGTCCCCACGTCCCCAGGGGGAGTGGGAGCAGGCTGGCTCTGTGGTCGACCCCCACTCCGGGAGAAGGTAAAGGGCTGGGGCTGGAGCTTGCTAAGGCTGCCAATGGAGTTGAGGATCAGCGTGGCTCTTGGTGTGGGGGCCAGGGTGCTGAGGGGGCGCTGTGGAGCCCCCTGTGGGGGCAGCATGGGCCAGAAACCAGCTCCGGTTCTTTCTTCTCTAGACCGTGGGACAGTAATGGCAGCAAAATCTTGAGGTTTGACATGGACTTGCTGAAACATGAAGTAGAACTCCGAGGGGCTGCTTCCTGGGGGCCCTTCAGGGCCAAAGGTCAGAAGGTCGCCATCACTCAACTCCAGCCTGTGACCCCTTGGGAGTCTGACATTATTGACCAAGGTCCCTGTTGATGATGAGGCACCAAAGAGATACAGAGAATGACAAAAACATGACTAGAATCAGGAGTAGAGAAGTCTGGCTCTGTCTGATTTTCTGGGGACCATGAGGAAAAACATGACACCTGTCATCAAATTCTCACATTCTAAGCCCCTCAGCAGGTGACATCAGATATTAAGCACTTTCTGAGTTGGGAACAAGTGTGTATTACATCCTCTCACAGGACATATGGAGGGAACAGACACCTTCCCTCGCCCAGCTCCAACTCAGCATAACTCCAGCCAGGTTCAAATCCTGACTCCACCACTTGCCAGCTCTGACCCTGGAGAAGTGAACCTCTGCCTCAACTTCCTTGTCTGTAAAATGGGGGTGATATTAATGCTCATCTACATTCAATGCATTTAAAACTGCCTGGTTTGATATAAGCACTAAATGAATATTGGCTACTATAGTTATCTAATCCCCACAGCACTCCCCAAACAGACCTTACAAAGCCTTCCGTTTTATCTAAGGAAACTTAAGACTCAGAGAATTGAAGTGACAGGCCTGAGTTTTCACTTGGGGTCAGCGGCAGAACTCAGATGTGAGCCCAGGCCTTTTGAGGCTAGCTGTGAGTCAGGGAGTAAGACACATGCCTATAGCATTAAAACACAATTCAACATCCTAACTCCGCTAAGACAGGAATAAGGTGCCTCAGCAAATCTGGAGGCTGAGGCAAGTCTGAGCTTGGCCCCTGTTGGCCCTAGAACATCCCCACTGTGCTATTTCCCTGACGCCCCAGGTTCTGGCTCTACCTCCCAGGCCCTGAGTGAGCCAAACAGGGACCACCAAGAGTCAACCCTGCAGAGAGCTTCTGACACTGCACGCTTCTGGTGGGAAGATGAGGTCTGGACTACCATTCAACCTGTTGGGGAGTGTGTGAGGCAAGCAGGGTCCCTGTGGAACCCCTTAATCATCCCAGCCCGGAGCTGCTCACCGCTCACCTTGGCTGCTGCAGTCCTCCAGGCTGACCCTCCAGTCATCACCCTGGCGTTCAGCGTGCAGCTCTGCGTGGACTCCAGAGATCAGACCAGGCTCCTGTTGGGGCCTCAGGGCCACATCACACAGGTCAGCCCTGTGGCCCAAACGATAGGTGCATCCAGTGCCACTTGGGGGGTGGAAGGTGTAGAGATCACCGCCCCTGCCACCTCCAATACGCAGCAGCTGAAAGCAGGGCAGCATGGGCGGTGCCCCCTCTGCCCCACCTCTTCCACTTCAGGAATCCATCACTTTCCCCACTCCAGAGCCATGCACGGAGGCCCAAGGTCACTTTCCATCTGATGCAAACTTGGGCTGTGCTTTGTGCAGTTTCAACTTTGAGCACACTCCCTGAGCAGTGCAACTTCAGTCCAAGGATCCTAGGCACGTGATGCAAAACTGGCTGTCAAGTTGCTTTGTACTGAAAAATTCTGGGAAGGTCCCGGTGCAGAGCAAAAACGAACACGTCCTATGGCACTTTAAATGAACCGATCCTCGGTCTGCAAAATATTCGAAAAGCCTTCAATCTGTGCAAGGTAACATACATTAGGCAGCTTCTGGGAACTGTAGGTGTGTGTTGGGCGTCCCACTTCTGTGCAATACTAACTTGTCACTTCAATATAACTTGGAGAAAAGAAGCTTCTTCCTGTCAGACTTGCTTATCCAAATAAGAGTAAGCTAGCCTTCCAGCTCGCCCGCGCCTCTCTCTATTGGCCAACCCCTCGCTCATAACTAGTTTGAACCCCAGTGGGAAGTGACTCCACCGTCACCTCCTCCCAAAAGGCAGTGAAAACGAGTCCCTACGTTCTCCAACAAAGTGGATCTAAACCCCTGCTGCCCGGCTTTTTCGGGTGAGATAAAAATAGAGGAAAGAGCTCCCCGAGATCTTGCAAGACAAACCCAGCCTTTTCCCTTCTCGCCCCAGCCCAGTTTCGGATCTACCGCGCGGTGTAGTCTCGGAGTGGTCTCCTCTCCAGGCAGTGCCAGTCTGTGCGGCGTTCCGGGACCCCTCGGGCTCTGGGCTGGCGCTCCCGCTGCGGTTTGACAGAGAGGGAGCCGGGCCAGGAGCGGAGCGACCTACGCGCGCGGGCAGCTCCGACCCCGCCTTCGGAATTCCCGGGTCCGAACTTCGCGCCTGCGAGCCCGCCCCTCCCCCGTACCGTTCCTGATTGGCCAGCTCTCTGTTCCATTGGGCGGGGCGCTAGCAGGCTCCCCCCGATGTCCCGCCTACCACTTTTTCTGATTAGTTTACAAGTTTTCCCGGGTTCCGGGAGTTAGGAGGAGCTGCCAGGGCGCGGAGATGCCCCAACGTGGTAATTGGGCCGGGCTTTAGACACTACTGCGCCTGCGTGCATCTCTTCCCCGCCTCTTTCCGGCTTTTGAGCGGTCCGCCAATGGGCCCGCTCTGCGCAGGCGCAGTCAGAGGTGGAGGCCAGCGTTGGAGCGAGGTGTGGGGGTGTGTGGTGAAAGGGCAAAGGGGGCTGTCGCGCTAGGTGAGGGGGCTTTCGGGAAGAGTCGATTGGGGGCAGGAAGGGCTGACAAAGGGGTTCGGGGTGGGTTCAGAGGCCCAAAGGGGACGAGGGGTACAGGCGCCGGGTAAAGCAACAGATAAAGGGGTCAGAACAGTCTTAGAGTTAGGGGTCTAGCGGGGTGAAGACTCAGGGGTGTCTGGGGGAGTGAAAAGGGGGACGAACTGAGAGCCAGCTAGAGTGCAGGGAGGCGAGAGGAGGCTGTTGAGTTGAGAGATGAAGGTGAGAATGAGGGAGCAGAGTCATTGAAAGAAAAAGATTAGAATGTAGGGACGGAGGGGGATAGGAATCCCAGATTGAGGAAAAAGTAGATGAATTTGGGTGGAAGGGTGGGAGACCCCGAAGTGCCCTCGCTATGCTCTAGGACTCTGAAGAGAGGAGGGTGGGTGGCAGGAATGAAAGTTGAGGGGATAATAGAGAAACTAAGAGGAAGTTGCTGGAAGGGTTTGGATGAGATGTCAGGAAGCTGGCTTTTCTTCCAGGGGATCTAGGCTGCCTGGATTCCCAGGTGTCCTGGGGAGGCATCCTGCCCTACCTGTAGCCACATTCACCTGGGGCCAGCGTGGGCCAGCGCTTTAATAGGGAAGGACCCAGGAGCCATGGCTTGGTGGTGCCTGGATGGACTTCCCCAAGGCTTTGCTGAGCCATGGAGAGAACTCTGGAGATTGGGCCCCACAGCCCCTGAACTGCACACCTGCTTTCTCACCTCCAACCAAGAATGGCAGAGACTATAGAAACCTAAGAAGAAGGATAAAGGCACCACCCAGACCTGAAAAGTTTGAGTAAAGCCTGAGAGCACCCCCTTAGCCTGTCTCAGTAAAATCCCTCCATCTCATGGTTATCGTCACAGTTCTTTCAGGAACCAGGTTGGGTCAAGCAAGTGATCTTTGGGTGTTTCCTACTTCTTTCTGGGAAGTAGGAAGAGAGGCGCTTAGAGTCTGGTGGACCTGGCTGTTATGGAAAGATAATGACTTTGTTATTTAAGGGGCTTTCTCTTTGGAAGGTTGAATTGGAGTGCCCTTGTTTCTCCTATTGTCCAGGGGAACATAGATGGCTGGATACAGAATCTAGAGACTTCAGATCATGTGGAGATGTTTCGACCTACAGGTCAGTGGGACCTGGCAAGGGGACTGGTGATTGTTTCTTCCTGGGGAACTGACCGTCTTTGTCCTTGTGATTCTTCAGGTTCCACTGGGCTTATTCCCCCATCCCACTTTCAAGTTCGGCCCCTTCCAGCCATGCCAGGGATGGCCCCGACCTGCGTCTCAGACGTTCCCCTGGCCCATCAAGATACCTCAGAGAGGCGGCCAGACAACCAGAAACCTCAAGTGATCATGTGGGAACGGGATGTTTTTGGTGACGGGCAGGAACCAGGGCAGAGAGGCAGGTAGGGGTCCACTGTCAAACTGTTTTCTCAGGCTTGCTTGCCAGTGACCCTTCTTTACTGAAATTTCATACCTTCGTTCAGTAATTTGTTCATTTTCCCATAAGCAATTATTGGTGCCTGCAACTCATAAGTAATAATAAGGGAGCATGATAGACGATAGGGATGGGGATAACAAAAATGAATAGGAGAGATTCTGATATCAAGGAATTCAAATCCAACAGCTGATGATAATAAGCATGATGAGGAAGTTCAAACTGGGACTGTTATTGCGCTAGATGGATTAATCCTGATGGAGTGCAGGCTGTTGGAGCTGACTGTGTTACTTGTCTATGTGTTGTCTGTGATGTTTTGTTAAATTTACGGGAATGTCATTCTGCCATTGTGCTCTAGAGCGTGATTGGAGATCGATCTACCTTGGACCCCATCAAAGAGGAAGGAGCATGATGATGAAGGGGGAGCACTGGAGTGGGTGTCAGGAGACAGAGACACCCTGTTCCTAGTTTGGCTACCAGCTAGGGGTCCTTTGGCCAGTCACTTAATTTCTCTAGGCCAGGGGTTGGCAAACTGCGGCTCACGAGCCACACGCGGCTCTTTGGGTACATTCTGTCTCAAAAGTTTGCCAATCCCTGAAAGAGCCAATCCTATCCCTCACAACAATTTAAAAACAATTTTAAAAGTTTTGCGAGACCTATAAAACAAGTGAAATCACCATGTGAATAATATCCTTTAAACATTTTATAAATGAAACTATGGTAGTTTTATTTTCATTTTTAATTTTACTTCAGAGGCTTGCGAGCTGCAGTTTGCTGACCCCTGGTGGCTCTTCTGTCTCAAAAGTTTGCCGACACCTGCTCTAGGCTATAGTACCCTACTTAAACAAAACAAAACAAAAAAAAACTCCTGTGATCTGGGCCCCAGTGAGGGAGCTGTGCCAACAGCCATGTTATAACTTTATGTGACACCAATAGAGCAGTGAGCTCTCTCCACATCTCCCTCAGGCTTTACCTTGCCCTTAAAACAGAATTCAGAAGCCTGTGCATGTACTTCTAACCTCTCTAATTCAGAGCGTGTGGCCTAAGGATGTGCACATTTCATGTTTAAGACATCTGCTTGTATGTAGTTCTCTCTAGAGGCCATGTTCCATGATCTCAGCCAGGCTTTAGGTCCTGTGAGCCCAGGCATTGGACCTTATGTGCTTAGCAGGGCCTCCATGGATGACTAGGGTGATGGAAATGCAGAGATCCCAATGGCCCAGCTTCATCCCCCCATCTCCGTTTGTGGGAGCAGAGGGATCTCTTCTGTCTCCGTTTAGCCGTTGGCCATCTTCCCAGCCTCAGAGACGGGTCTTAACTGTGCTAACCTGTCTTCGAAGGTCCGTGGAGCGGCAGGGGTCGCAGGCCCTGAGCCAGCAGGCCGAGCTGATCTCTTGGCAGCTGCAAGAGCTGCGGCGGCTGGAGGAGGAGGCCCGGGTCCTGCGGGAGACCTCGCTGCAGCAGAAGATGAGGCTGGAGGCCCAGGCCCTGGAGCTGGAGGCTCTGGCACGGGCGGAGAGGGCCGGCCGAGCTGAAGCCGAGGGCCTGCGTGCTGCCTTGGCTGGGGCTGAGGTTGTCCGGAAGAACCTGGAAGAGGGGAGCCAGCGGGAACTGGAGGAGGTTCAGAGGCTGCACCAGGAGCAGGTGAATGTGGGGGTGGGGAGAGCAGTAGCTTCTCAGCAGACAGCAGGAATGGAAGAAGGCAGTGGAGTGATGAGAAGATGTTTGGTGAAGGCGAGAAAACGTGACCTGGAAAGAGGGAGACCTTGGGTGTTTTTGCTCCTCCTCATAGTGCACTTTTTCCCAGGACTCAGGTGACCTCCCACCACCTGAAGCCCTCCTTCCCCTTCCAGTAGGAAGTACTTTGTCTCCCTGCTTTACTCTGGGTACCCCATTCATCTGGGAGGGCTGGGGGCAGTGGGGGGTGGGCAGCGAGGAGGGTAGGAGTGGGGTCCTGAGGTGGGCTGGGAATGGGAGATTGTTCAGTCAGTCAGCATGTATGGGTGCTTACTTGGCCATACCTGAGATGGGAGCCAGGACTCGGGTGAGCACATCAGCCTGAGTCCCTGCCCTTGTGGGTGGAGCTGACAGCCTAGTGGGACACACACATTCAACACTTGATTTACTCCTAGTTAATTGCAATTGGTAGAGGTGCCCTGAAGGACCAGGAGACCTGACCTGGTAGGGGAGTGAAGGAAGGCCATCCTAGTTAGGAAATGAAACCATAAAGATACTGGAAGAAACCTGGGTGAATTCCTTTGTAACCTCGGAATGGGGACATTCCTTACGTGTGAATCAAAACTGAACCATTAAAGAAAAGATTGGTCCATTGACTTTCTAATACTAAACTTAGGAATGACAAAATAAAAGTAAGATTAAAGGACAAATGATAAACTAGAAAATATAGGTACAGCTCAAATCACAGGAAGCTGCTAATGTCTCCACTGTATAATGTGTGGCTAGAAACTGATAGGGAAACACAGCAATCCAGTTAAAAGATGGACAGAGGAGATAGTTCAAAGAAAAATATAAATGCCTTTAGATTCACAAAAGATGCTTAATGGTAAGTGACATTTGTGCAGAATAAGAGCTGGCTGGTGACGAGATGGGTTGGGTGTCAGTGGGAGCCTGTGTGACACTGGCCAGCGTGTGTGACAGGAGGGGGCCTGAGAGGCTTGAGAGCAGGATGAGAGGGGGCTCTGGGTGGTGATGTGACTGCAAGGCCTCAGGGCCCGTTCAGAACTTTATCTGAAGGGCAGTGAGCAACTAGTGAAATGGGAAAGTGACGTGATGGGATTTGTATTTTATGTCTCAAAAGACTAGTTTTGTGATTTATGTCCAAAAGTTGACTGACTGCGGTGTGGAAATAGTGCCAAAGGGGGCAGACTGGAAATGAGAGTAGCCGCCTCCCTCCTTCCCCATCTGTCCCATGACCCCTCCAGTGTCCCCGACATGCTCACCACTGTTGGAGGTGCAGTAAGAAAAGGACAAGACTCCTACCTTCCTAGAACTTCCTTTTGAACGGGGCGTGGCAGACAGTAAGCACACACACAAGTAAGGTCATCTCAGATGATAATGAGAGCTAAAAGGACAGGAACAGGCGACAGGGCTGAGCGGTGGTGGGTAGGGATCGGAGGGCCTAGGGCGGCCTCCCCGAGGAGGTGGTGTGTGTCTCCTTCACCCCCCAATCTGAGGAGCTGGGTAAGCAGGAGAGTGATAGGAGATGGGCTCAGAGAAGCGGGCAGAGGCCAGGGCACAGCGGGCATTGCAGGCCGAGGGAAGAAGCAGGGTTTTGTTCGAAATGCCATGGTGAGCCACTGGAGGTTTCTAAGCCTGGTTAGGAGATTGCTGCCTTGTCCAGGCCGGAGACA